TTGCAGATATGTCCCTCAAGAATTTCCCTCACAGGTAGGTCTCTCGGTTAGCCCTCAGCCAAACAAAATTACGAATCTGTCCTACCTATAGTACAACCTCGACAGAGAGAGGCTATCGGCGACCAGAAAACAGCAAGTCATTGCAGACCTACCCTCCCCCGGAGCGAGGACCTCCGAGCTAGGGGCGTAGGCGTGCAGAGCGCCGAAGGGGTACCCCCTTCTGTGCTGCCTCATATCTGAGGATGACAGACTTGGCCGTCTTTAGGAGTTCCTTGCGAGTAAACCAGCGATCTTCAGTGTGTGGCTGGTATAAGAACATCACAAGGTACTCCTTATCTGGACCTGTCCGTGACTCATCCTCCACAGATTCGACCTCATATCCTTTGCCTGGGATAGGGCGACCGAATTGAGGAGGCCTGTCTGGAAATGCATCAGGTGGCGTAAATGGCAACAGCTTAGATGCATGAAAGACAGGGTAGGTTTGTAGATGCAGAGGGACGTGCACATTATAGGACGGTCTGAACGGATCAGCTCCCACTGTATCTAAGACCTGCCATGGACCCATGTATCGTGGCAACAGCTTAGGCGAGATGTCCTCCTCTCGTGACAGCTCATAACTGAGTACCCACACCCAGTCACCTGTGCGAATCGTAGAAGGACGCCTGTGCTTATTGGCCTGTTGAATCATAGCCTTTTGGGCCTTCAACAGGTTAGCACGGGCACGCTCTATGTCCACGCGGTAATGCCTGGTGAACTCTGCAGTTCCAGGTGTCAGCGTAGGGGTAGCCTTGTCGATGATATCATCGAGAGGCTGCCGTGGTTCACGACCCCAGTGTAACCGGTAGGGTGTGAAACCAGTCGAGGAGTGTACAGACGTGTTATACACAAGCTGTGCACGACTCAGATGGAGATCCCAGTCCTGCTGATCTGGACTGATCACAGGACGCAACAATTGGAACAGAATCTGGTTCATCACTTCAGCCTGACCATTGGCTTCAGGATGACGACCAGATGTCATATCCAATCTTGAATGAAGGTAATCCCTGCAGTACGATTGCCATTCATTGCTGCAAAAACGGGGATCTCTATCACTGACAATAGAGGTGGGTGGTCCATGATGTGTGACCCACCTGTCAGCAAACGCCGCCTGGACGGCCGGCACACGAGCCTTAGCTGGTAAGGGGATGAACTCTGCATATTTGGAGAACCGATCCACACATACCATGACCTGACGCATACCTCGTGGTGTAGTCCTACCCAAGTCAGTGAAATCAATAGAAACTGACTGTGCAGGAGCATCAGGGATAGGTAGGGATTTGAGTAAGCCAAGGGGAGGTCACCGTACCACCTTGTTCCTTTGGCATAACTCACAGGTTTCCACATAGTGCAGCATGTCACTCCTCATCTCCTTCCAGAAGAAGCGCTGCGACAGGGCTGCATAAGATTTGAGGTCACCAAAGTGACCACGAGCGTCATGACACTATGACATCAGAAGTGTCCTCAACTTGCGGTCCGGGGGAATGCACAGGCGCTCCTCGCCTCTGCTGCACGTGTACAGCAGGCCTGAGACCAAAGAGTATCCTGGTTCAGAGGCAGGATGGTCCTGGAGATTCCTTACAATAGGCCCAAAGATCTCATCCTAGGGCAGCAACTGGGCAATGGTCTGACGGGTCCTCTCTCCAAACGAGTGAGTAAAGGAGATCAGAAAGAGAGCGTCCGGCCTACGAGAAAGGGCATCTGCGACTCTATTGTAGCAGCCCTTCTTGTGTCTCAGTTCAAAGTCAAACATGTCAATGAACTGGATATAGCGAGCAAGCTTGTCATTCAGCTCTCCCTGGGACTTCATCCACTGAAGGGTGGAGTGATCTGAAAAGATCTTGAAGTGCCTGCCCAGGAGAAAGTGCTTCCAATGCTTGAGCGCTGACACAAGAGCATAGAGCTCCTTCTCATAGGTTGAGTCCTGCAGCTTCTTGGTCTTGATCTTCTTGCTCATATACTCAATAGGCTGCAGACCATTCCCATTATCTTGCTGAAGTACCGCCCCTACACCATACAGGCTAGCATCAGTAGTCAGTACAAAAGGCAAAGTAGGGTCAGGTAGCTTCAGAACAGGGGCACGAATCAAGGCCTCCTTGAGACGTGTAAAGGCCTCCTGACATTCTGACGTCCAAAGAAAGGAAGTGTCTTTCTTTGTAAGATCAGTCAGGGGAGCTGCAATCGCAGAGAAGTTCTTAATGAACTTCCTGTAGTAGGATGCAAGCCCCAAGAAACACCGGACATCACGAATGTTAGCAGGTCGCGGCCAGTCCTGAACTGCAGCAACTTTCGTTGCCTCAGGAGCCAACCCCTCTCCAGAAATCACGTGTCCCAGATAGATTACAGAGGGAACTCCAAAAGAGGACTTCTCCCTGTTGATCTTATACTGGTTAGCACGTAAGGCCTGGAGGACCAGAGCCAGATGATGCGCATGCTCCTGGACAGAACGACTGAATACCAAGATGTCATCGAGGTAGACAACTACGGACTTGTCCAGGTAAGGCCTCAGTATGTGGTGCATCTCTGTTTGGAAAGTGCCTGGCGCATTGCAAAGACCGAATGGCATAACCAGGTACTCATAAGTCCCATACCTAGTTTTGAAGGTTGTCTTGTGGACATCGCCTTCAGCCATCTCAATCTGGCGGTAGCCAGATTTGAGGTCGATCTTGCTGAAAATAGTGCAGCCCTGCACCATATCCAACATGTCATCAATGCGAGGAAGGGGCTTTGTAGACTTCCTCGTGATTTTGTTGAGACCACGATAGTCCACACACATCATGAACTCACCATTCCCCTTTGGAACAAAGAGGACTGGTGCCCCAAACTCAGATGTGTTGGGCCTGATCCAGCCCTTGCTGGTCAGTGTCTCTAACTGTTTCCTGAGGTCTTCAAGTTCAGCTGGAGACATCCTGTAGACCCGGTCCTTGGGAGGGACCGAGCCAGGCAGGATCTCAATCTTATGTTTGGTCTGCCTATGGACAAGTCCAGTAGGCTCCTCCATAAGATCTGAGAACTGGTCTACAACCTGCTGAATCTGAGAGGGACAGGGAGCAGTCTCCACGTCAGTCTGTTTGACATAAGCCACAAACAGACGAACGTGGTCAGTCTGGCGTGAGAATCGCAAAAACTTGCGAGCACTCATGCAATAACAGTTGCTGGCCGGATGATACTCATCAACGAGTATGCAAGGGCGATAGACCCCATGCCAGTCAGGCAGCTCAACCCTAGGAATCCGCCAGTCAATCCTAGGATTGGTGGCACCAAGCCACTGCATAGAGAAGACAAGGTTAAAGGGAACGTTAGGGAACACATAGAAGTTCAGGCAATGCCTGACTTCCCCCTGCTTGTCAAAGGACACAGGTAGGCCCTTGACATCAGTGGTAATCCTGACTGTGGAAGAGTCCCCAATGCGGACTTCCAATGGTTGTCGCAGCTTCACCAACCTCTGATCCAAGTGCAATTTGTTGACTGCCTTGGGGGAGATGAAGTTGCGAGTAGCCCCACAGTCCAAGAGCCCTTTGATCTTGGCTCCCAGGATGTAGGGTCGAAGCAGGATGAGTTCAGACTTGTGCTTCTTCTTCTCCTGCAAGGACAGGAAAAGATCAGCAATAGTCTGAGCATCGTCCTCCTCCCACGTCTCATCCAGCTCAGAGTCTTCAAAAGTGAAAGACCCTTCCAATGCAACTCTGGAAACAAAAGTACCAGCGAGAGAATGTGAAGATTCACCTCCATCAGAGAGGGAATCGGCACTGGTGGAAGGAGCTGCTGCTTCCACCTCTCTCTGCTCTAGTTTTTTGAACTAGAGCTGCCTGCAGACCTACGAGGCATACTGGGACAGTCCTTGAGGAAATGATCCCCCTCGCATCTCAAGCAGACCCCCTTATCCTTCCTCTTCCTCCAAACTCCCTCCTGGATCCTGAGTGCATGCCAGGGGAAGGTGGAAGGATCAAGTGGGTCAGCTGGCCAGCGGACGTCTCGTGGTAGAGGTACTCTCTGGGCCCCAGGGGAAGAGGCACGTCCCTTCCCTTTCCCCTGGCGATTGGTTGGTGCTTTCTGGGCTGGGGCCTTTCCCTTTGCCAAGCCCATCAAAGCATCAGCCAGGGCAAGAACAGGATCTGCAGCTGATGATGATGCAGTCCCAGGTGGAGGGCTCCCACCCTGGGATGTTGCGTCACTATCAGAACCAGACGCTGCAGCAGCAAACAGGGCGCCCTTCCTCCTCCTTCGCCCTTTGGAGGAGGGCCCCTTCCTTCCTTCAGAAGGTGCTTCCTGGACATGGAGCTTGGATTCCAAATCCAGGGCTGCTCTGCCAAAGGACCTCCAGTCCTTGTGACCCTGAGAGACGAGAGCAAGCTGGAATTGCTTTTGCGCTGCCCTTAGGAAATGAATGAGTAGATCCTGCTCACTCATCTCCAACCCTGGAGTCGATGTCAGACTCTCAAAGGTGGAATACAGTTTGGACAAGGAGCCCTCAAACTTTTTCTGGACCAGGCGCAAAATTTTATCTGCAGCCTTTCTTGCCTGCTCCTTGTCTGCAAACCGGTCGTGCAGGGCCTGCAGAAATCCAGCCACCCCCAACCTCTGCGCCCAATCAGCCATCTCCATCCCCTGCTTGCTGGAAGTAGAGGTGCACCATTTCAGTGCAGTCCTCTCCAGCCGTGCCAGGATGGATGACACCTTCACATCCTCGTCGCATTTGAACCCACTCAGGTTGGTTCGCTGCGCAGTCACCCAATCTGCCACATCCACCTTAGGATCTTCTCCTGAGAACATTGGTGGAGGGGTCAGCTTGGGCCGCTGTGGCTCAAATGGGGCCGAGGACTGAGAGGGTGCTGGAGACTTGGGTGTAAGAGGTGGGGATGTAGGTCAGGAGTGTGGGGGTTTTGGGACAGGTGCTGCAGAAGGGCCAGAAGAAGGAGGAACAGTCTGAACAGGGGTGATCTGCCGCTGTTTGGCAATGTCGCTCAGCTGCGCAGAGATGTCATCCAACTTCTTTGACAAAGCTGAATGACTGGTCTCTAGACCTGAGATTCGGTCATCCCAGTTAGTAAAGTAGGACCGGTGAATCTCATCCTGTAGCAGGATGAATTCTGCCATGTCCTTACTGGCCTGACTGGTCACACCGAGGCTCATGATTCTCTCCATGTCTCCAATCAACACTTTTCTCCTGGCCTCTTTCTGGGCGTAATCTTCCTTCCTCTTCAGCTCTGCCTTTAGGTTCTCAACGGCCTGGGCCTGCAAGCGGAGTTTCTCCTCTTGGGCCCGCAGTTCAGCCTCTAAAGGGTCAGGCGGTACAGGTGTTACAAGCTGCACTTTCATCTTAAGCTTAACCTGGGGTGTCTCCCCAGAACTCTCAACTACCTCAGCCTTCCCTGATTCCGCCATATTGCTCCCCACAATACAGACAAACCAATAAACAACAAGTAACAAACAAAGAACAGGCAGGCGGTAACAGGAGTTGGATGTTCCCTGTAGTACTAATCCAATTGCTGTCACCTGCCTAGAGAGAGAAGATTGGTTAACCTGAGCAAGTGAGTGCTCAGTCTTAGCAGACCGCTTGAGGGTCAGGGTCTGTTCAGAGTCTACTCAGGCAAAAAACAATTTCACGATTTTTCCATGCAGTCTTGGACTAATTAGTGTTGATTAGTAATCAGACAGAGTGACTAATTAGGGTTAGATGGGTATCTACTGATGACCAAAATGCAGCGATGTGCAGGAAAACCTATTTTTAGACCTACCCTGTTGACATCAACACTGTATGACCCTGGATGCCATACAGGGGTATGGCGAATTACAGCAAACACTGTAACTGACTCAAAACATCAAATCTGACTGTGCGATTTCAGACAGTGCTAGAATAGTGAATTGTGATTTACCAGGGACTGACAGAACTGAATTCTGACGGGCAGAATCAAAGTTATGACTGACTCTAGTCTACCATAGCTTTGGCTATGTCAGCGCAGAATTCAAATTTGCATTATCACTGACAATTGAACCCTGAAACCATCAATTCGCTGCACAGTGTAAATCGCAATACTGTAAAGTAGTCCCAGATGAAATTTGAGGCAGAGGGGAGGCCAAACAGGGTCAGTAGAGGTCAAAGAAGAAGTTGGATATGGCTGTCCCACAGTCTGAATTTCGATTTTCAACTGTCACCTGACAGACAAACCAAATTTCGCTATTCTAAAAATAGCCCCAGAATCGCCACACAGGATAGAGTAAGGAACACACTCACTTCAGGATCAGCTCTGAAGAAGATGCATGGAATCTTGGCTATGGCTGAATAGTCAAGCCTGTCTCACCAGTTTCACCTCCTGACAGTATACTGTGCTCTCACGTACAGAATCCTTCCAAACTTGGTGATCCAGTACAGTTCCCTGAGGCGCTTCACCCACAACTGACAGATTCAACGAATTTGGACTCCCAGGTGCTGATAACTGCTCCAGGCAGTACAACGCCACATCACCTTGTACAGCGCTGATTGGAATTTGGGGATTCTGACCCAATTCCAAAATCGCAACCTCCTGGGATCACTTCCTTGCATGCCAACCTCCAAGTGAAATGCCAGGCTATAATTAGCCTCCTAGAGCCTTCTGAGCCTCTGGATTATCAAACGCCACTCACTCCTGCATAACCCTAGCCAGGAGTGTGTCACCCTCTGTCTGTTGCTTCTCGCCACACACTCACAACCACCACCCTACTGACAACAACCCTGAAGATGATGAATCGCCATAAAGCTCAACTCCAGTATCTCGCCAGATGATGATGGGTGCTCCAACTTATCAATCGCTCCAGAGTCTGGATCCAATTGCTCCGATACCAACTGTTATGATTCTAGTTGTTCGTTGCCTGAAACCCAACACTCACTCACATAAACTTCTGCACATGCCCATACACACACAGAAGGAAGGGGAGAGGATAGGAGTATCACACCACACAGGGAGAGACAAACACAGCGGAAGACTTGACCATGCGGTATGACAGGGTACACTGAAACTGCAATACACTCCACTCAATCCTCACAACCAGTCATAGAGAAAAGCCGAGCAGATCACATCTAGGAACCAATGAAACGATGATAGTCCAAACACAGTTATACACTGTTTATTAAACTCAGAGTCTCGAAATGTCAGGATCACTTCAGAACTACAGTGCGCTGCTCA